AACCCCCTTCCCCTCCCCCTTTTCTGATGAAGGGTCTCGGCCCGAAACGTCAGCCTCTCTGCTCCTATGATGCTGCTTGGCCTGCTGTGTTCATCCAGCCCTGCACCTTGTTGTCTCGGACTTTAAACCATGTAGTTTTCAATCTTCTATTGTACTGAATGTAACAACGTTGTACCTGTGTGTGAGAGAGCGCAAATGATTTCCGGAAGATCATCTGCTTAACATTGTGCCCTTATTATGTTTCTCTTGTACTGTCAAGTAATAAACTCACTCATTTTTAATTCCAGGAAACGTTGCAAATGGCCTCTTACCACCACTGTAAAAACTAATTAACTAGTTTAATTGAAGAACGGTATGGTTTCATGTTAAAAGGAACTAGACAATTTGTGACTAACTGAGATGCCTGAAAAGAATGAGAGCTCGTTCATCGCTTCTCACCCAGTTGTAGCAACAGTAATACGCTTGCAGCTGATTTAAGTGCAGCTTTACGAGCCTGAATGTTTGCATAACAGTCAAAAAAGTGACTGATTCCTGAGAAGTTCACCTTGTTTCCCCATTTAATCAGACTCTATATTGACTTAATATCTCGACCCTCAGGTTAAATTAACCACCATTAGTCTCTGTGTAATGAACTAGCAACCCGATGGCCCTCTGTGACTATGGCAACCTTACCCCTTTTATTAGCTACATATATCAATATGATGATTTGTGTACTGTCATTACATAGGGCTTGATTTTGAAAGGATGGATTGAGCTGACCAGTGGGAGAGACGCATACGCTAAAAAGGCCATCAAATATTTCGATGAAGGAATCCAAGATGGAAATCATGTATTTGCTATGATGGGCAAGGTGAGTTAAGAATGTAAAAAAAATTGTAGAAATAAGATAGATGAAATTGGACTTCAGTGATTGTACAGCATGGGTGACAGATGAGACTTGTGCTGAAATTATTTCAAAATTGTTTGAATATATTTTTCAATGTATGTTGCTTAACATTAGTAAGTAATTATTTGTAGAATTAATTCCTCGAGTTGTATGTATATTCTGTTCTATCCTACCCTGACTCTACACACTAAATCCTTCTAAATTCAACAAATGTAAAGAAAAATGCTTTTAAAATTGTATTTTTTTTCTCTTTTGAGTGCACACTTTCATTCGTCACTGTCAATTATGTTTTCTTGGTTACTGCAGCATCGTCATTTTGCATATGCTGTTTGCTCTGATCTTAGTTACGATTTGTTTTAGTAAAAATCAAAAATTCTCGTTTACAGAAAGAATGAAGCCACAATGTCTCATGGTTTAAAAACCAAAAGAATTTTGACGACGAATGCTAATGCTGTGAGGATATGGGTTCAGATCCTACCATGATGGCTGGTGGTATTTTAATTCAATTAATAAGTCTGGAATTCAAAGCTAACCTCAGTAACAGTGACCTTGAACTATCTGGTTCAATAATGCCCCTTAATAAGGAAATCTACCATCCTTATCTGGTCTGTCTTACATGTGATTCCAGTACCACAGTCATGTGGTTGACTGTTAACTGCCTTCTGAAATTACCCAGTAAGCCAACTCAGTTTAAGGACATATAGAATGGGAAACAAATTCTGGTCTTGCTGGCAGTGTTCACATCTCTTAAAACAATAAATTTAAACATCAGGTAAGCATCTATACTCAAACCCTGAATGCAGTCCGAGCTAAGATGATGCAAAAGAATATTCCACTCTTGGCCAAACTATCTTTTGTAGCAATCTTCTCAAGAACACAAAATGCCCTCATAACTTTATCCTCACTAAATTTAAAGCATAGGGCAAATTTTCCTAGCTCGGTCTGAAACTGGAGATTTAATTCAAATCAGCATCTAAACTGCTAGCCATTCCCTGCTCATGTTAATAAAGCCTTAGTCTGTCCAGTTTAAAGAATTGTTCATTTGCCATTTGAAACTTCAGTTCTAGTTTGAATATCTCTCTTTTGTCTTGTTTTTTCCTCTTTTGCATTTGAGTTAACTCATCTACAAGAGAATCCTAGCTAACTCGGTCTGCACTTTATCTTAGTCAGGATTTTCTTCTTCTAACTCTCAGTGCTATGCTCATGCCTCGATTTGATTGATTGATTGTATTTTTGTTCCTGCTTTTAACTATTGCTATTAATTAAAATTTTTGTAAATTGTTGAAAATCACTTCGGGATAAATCTTCTGTCTCATGAGAAACTTCAGTAATTGACAAAGCCATTCTGCTTTCTAATAGGTCCAGTAAAATTCACCATGAAATCCTACTAGCCTAAACAATGGCAAATCCCAGTGCCTATAGCCACTGGGAGCCCCAGTTTTTTTAAGATCTTGGTCAAGATCTTATATTAAGAAAAGCAATCTGAAATTTCAGTTACTTACTGGAAGAATTAAGCCTTGATAATTTTACTGTGCATACTATACAAAATAATTTTAACTATGCAAAGCAAAAATTAAATACTCTTTGATAACCATGTATGTTCTAAAACTCAACATTAGTATGAGTTAAACATGAATTAACAGGCAAATTGTGGTTGATTTATAAACTATAAATTATACTTTAAATACCAAATACAATTAAGACATGTTAGAAATTGACTTGGATGTGCATCCATAGGTGTTATTAATCTCAGTCACAAAGTCCTTTCGAACTCTATTCTTAACCTCTTCTGAGATTTAACTTGAACTTCAACTGTTAGCAGTGCACAACCAGCCCAAGTTATATTGGAGTGCTCTTTAACAAAACCTCTTCAACACTGCTTACAATGGTCTTGATGCCAAAGATCCGTCAGTGTTACCTTCATGTAAGAAAAACAGTTATGTAAAATCAGCTTCTAGATCTAGCTTCCATCTTCTTTGGCCTACACCCCACTGGATTCACAATTTTGGTGTCTCTCAAGCAGTCCCTTGGGATCGAGGGTGAGTTTCCTTTACTGTGGAATTGTGCGAGCTGAGATGACTAAACAGTCTGATGCTGGATCTATACACTGTGCTGCAGGTGGTGTTTGAAGAGACGTGTGTGTGTGTGTGGGATGCTTGGGGTTTTGCACACCCTTTCCACTTTTTGTGCCTGAATTGTTGGAGGTATTCAAGACAGTTGACAACCTTGCAGTAATTTCTTCTCCAGATTGGATGGTCTTGCGCTGGAGCTTCCTATGATTGACTAGGATTGTTGCATTTTTTTCACAGAGTCTTTAGAACATCCTTTAAGCGTTTTCTCTGTTCTTCTGGTAACAACTTGCTATGGAGAAATTGTTTTGGAAATCTTATGCCAGGCATGGAGACAGTTTGGCCCACCCAGCACAACTGATTGATAATAACCTGTGCCTCGTTGGGGATGTTGCCTGAGGGAAGAGAGAGATACTGGAGCAATCATCCTGTGTGACTTTTATGTAGTTTAAATTAAAAGTTAAAAGATTTACCAATTAAATAGAAATGTATTTACAACTTAAGTAGTGCACAATGGAAGTTATCAACCAATATTATGCCATAGGATAAAAGCTTTTCAGTCCTGTGATCTTGTTCCTCCCAAAATTATAATTTGGTTAAGATATTTAGTTAGTGTTTTTTCATATTTCCATTTTAGTTCCAGAATATTGTTTCTTTTTGAAAATAGGCACAATATCTTGAGATGCGTCAGAACTACTCTGGAGCTTTGGAAATGGTAAACCAGATAATAGTTCATTTTCCTGGCTTCCTGCCGGCTTTTGTAAAGAAGGTAGAACTCCAGCTAGCCCTGCAGGATTGGGACCAGACAATTGAGACAGTACACAGGTAAAGAAACCAGTATGAAATCAGTCTTATCAAATCTTAACAGTGAGAGGATAGACTAAAATGTTGTGTTGGAGCTGCTTAAAAACACCATTTATTTACAGGAAAGGAGAAATCTCACTTTGCACTTAAGTTGAAATAAATCATCTCCAGTCAGTCTGAATGGAATAAGATTACAGTAGTTACTTCCATGTATCCATTGCAAATTTTCAAAGTTATAAGGACATTACTGTTTTCTAACATTAAAAACAATTAAGAATGTAAGTTTATGTAATGTCCAGAACTATCAATAGATGTAGATTCAAAGTCATAATTCTCTGGATTGTTGTGAATGTTGTTAATGCATTTATAATTTGATGTAGATATTTCCAACATGTTAACAGTTTCACTTCTGTAGGAAAATAGAAGATGTTTGTGATAACATAACATTTTATATATTTTTGTGATGTAGAGGGTTGAGCAATTTCAACTCTTGATTTTAAATTTGTCTTAGCATTTATATTCTGCAAAAGCAATGTTCAATGATAAGTGTCCGTCAATGAGTAAATTTAATCTGTCTGGTAAAAGTTAGAGATTGAGATTCAATACATGTGAATGTACTTTATTGTGGTAATTTAAAATTTATTCTCAAATCTTATTACAGACTCTTACAGAAGGATAGTCATAATTTTGAAGGTCTAGGGATGCTGGCCCTTCATTCTTTATGCAGAGAGGGAAATATTAAGGAGGTATGGAAAAAGCTATAATGAAGCACCAGTTAACAAATATTCATTTTATATTGTCATAGAGATATACAGCATGGAAACAGACCATTTGGTCCAACTTGTCCATACCAAGCAGATATCTAGACCCACTTGCCAGCATTTGGCCCATATCCGTTTAAACCTTTCCTATTCGTATACCCATCCAGATGTTGTAATTGTACCAGCATCCACCACTTCCTCTGGCAGCTCGTTCCATACACGCACCAACTACTGCATGAAAACGCTGTTCCTTAGATCCCTTTTAAATGTTTCCCCTCTCACCTTAAACCTTTGCCCTCTAGTTTTGGACTCCCCCCACCCTGGGGAAAAGACCTTGTCTATTTACCCTATCCGCATCCCTCATGACTTTATAAACCTCTATAAGGCCCCTCCCTCATCCTTCGATTCTCAAGGGAAAGTAGCTCCAATCTGTATTCAACCTCTCCCTATAGCTCAAACACTCCAAACCTGGCAACGTTTTTGTTAATCTTTTCTGAACCCTTCCAAGTTTCACAACATCCTTCCTGTAGCAGGGAGACCAGAAATGCAGACGGTATTCCAAAAATGACCTAACCAATGTCCTGGACAGCTGCAGTATGACCTCCCAACTCCTATACTCAATGCACTGACCGATAAAGGCAGGCATACCAAATGCCTTCTTCACTATCCTATCTACCTGCAACTCCACTTTCAAGGAACTATGAACCTGCACACCAAGGTCTTTTTGTTCAGCAACACTCCCCAGGAGCTTGCTATTAAGTATATAAGTCCTGTGCTGATTTGCTTTTCCAAAATGCAGCATTTCACATTTATCAAAATTAAATTCCATCTGCCATTCCTCAGCCCATTGGCCCATCTGATAAAAATCCCATTGTACTCTGATGGAACCTTCTTCGCTGTCCACTACACCTCCAATTTTGGTGTCATCTGCAGACTTACTAACCATACCTCCTATGTTCACATCATTTATGTACTTATAATGTCAGTGCTTGTCAGATCCAACAACTGGGGGTCAGTAGTATAATCTAATAAGATTTTCTTAAATTTCTTTGTTACTCATTCAAAGTCAATAAATCTCTCATAAGTTACTAAGACCTGTGCCTATAAAATTAAGGGCTAGTTTTGTAAAATGTTCTCTGCATTGTAATCAAATCATCTGAATTGATTTTTGAATAAAATGCGTAGAGATCATTTTCAGAATTTTTAAGTGGAATATGTACTCTATGCTTTGTCGGGATTGAGAATTATGAGCTTCTGTAATTTGCATCCTCCAGTCAAATCTAAAATTTCAAGGTGATTGTTTGTAATATCTCCAGTAAGGGCCTATGAATGGACCAATGAAAACTCAGAACCTTTCATGAGGAGACAGTGGTGTAGTGGTAGTGTCATTACACTGGTAATCTTGTGTCCCAGCCTGATGTTATGCCAACCCAGGTTTGAATCTCACCAAGGCAGATGGTGCAATTTGCTTTCACTAAAAAGATGAAGTTGAAAGCTAGTCTAATAGCAATGATGCAACCATTTTTGATTCTCTATCAAATTATGAAAAGCTACCTGGTTCACTAATGTCTTATTTTTAGGGAGGAAGAAAAATGCTATCATTACTTGATATGGCTTACACATTATTCCAGCATTTCAGCAATATGCTTGCCTCTTAACTGGCCCCTAAAATGACCAAGTAAACCATTCAGTTCAAAGCAATTAGGGATAGACAATTGATGGCTGTGAGAGCGATGGTCGCATCCCATGAATGAATTATTTGAGTATGAGGAGAGCAAAAATTGAAACAGTATTTAGCAAATTTATTTAAGTTTCACAACTAGTAAAACATACAAAAAGATCTATTAAGGTGTACCATTCAAAGTCTGTGAACTGGAATTCATACTATTTATTGACGTCTTTCCAGGCCGGCTCTAGACTTGGTGATCTAATCAGTATATTGGACCGTTTTGAACCACATAATCCTGATCTCTTTTATAAAATGGCATTGGCCTTCAGTAGGATGGTAAGTTTGTTAATATTTCAAAATAAAAATGTTTTCCTGATAGTTTAGGCAATTTGATTCAATTAGTAACTAAAATATAAAAGCCAAGTTTGATCTCATTCTATCCTGAGTTAGTTAATTGCTGACGAAGTAGAAATAATAACAACTCCTTTCTGGAGCCTTAGAGTAGAGACTAGGCTGTTGGGCAAAGTTTTCACTTTTATTTGGTAATTTGCAAACTCTCTCCTGGAAAGACGTATGAATATTGGGTGTCAAAAACTTCAGGATTCATGCAAATTTGCTTAATATTAGATAGTTTAATAATACTGCTGGTACCCAGTTATGACTGTTGTTTCCTTCAGGGGAGCTACTAGATCAAACCACATTCCATTAAGCAGCCAATGTTGGGGGGGGGATGTCTTGTTTTTTTAAAGAAAAAAGACCAGGATTTAATTTTTTCTAGATAAAGGAGTTCGCCTTTTAATATTTCTAATGGGTTAAGTTTGGGCTGTCATTAAGGATTAAGGATTTTATAGCAGGATACTTTTAACTAATTTACTGGAGTTCTTTGAGAAAGTAGCAGCAAGGTGCATATAGGGGAACTGGTGGATTTGGTGTACTTGAATTTCCAAAGGGCATTTGATAAGGAGCCACATCTAACGATAAGCTTGAAGTTGACACAAAAATAGGTGATAACGTAAGTAATGAGGATGAGACAAGAGGTCTGCAGACTGATATAGACAAGCTAAGTGTGTGGTTAGCAGATGGAAAATAATACGAGAAAACATTACCATATACACATCGGCAGCAAGACTAGAGGAGATATAAATATTATCTACACGTGGAAAGACTGCAGAAAGCTGCAGCACAGAGTGGGTGTCCTCATGCCAAAATCACAAAACAGTTAGCTTCCAAGTTCAGCAAATAATAGGGAAAACAAACAGAATGTTGGCCTTTATTTAAAAAGGAATGGAGTATAGGGAAAATAGGGAAGTCTTGCTAAAACTATCCAAGACACTAGTCAGACTGAATCTAGAATGCTGTGAACAGTTTTGGTCCCCTTATTTCAGGAAAGATGTATTGGCTTTGGAAGCAGTGCAGAAAAAGTTCACAAGATTGATCCGTAGAATAGAGGATTTCCTTATGTGGAGAAGATGAATAGATTGAGTCTGTACTCATTTGAAAAAAAAAAGTCACCATAACTACTGGACAATAGAGCTGCTGTCTCATGAGAGAGAGAAGATTGATGGTTGTTTAACCTGAGGGTCACCACATCTCAGGCGAGGGGGATATTGAAAAGGAGGGTCGTTCATGGTAACCTCAGCTGGTACAGGAATTGGACACATGCTGTTGGTATCACTCTGTGGTGCAAACCAGCCATCCAGCCAACCGAGCTCATTGATCCACCCTGTCCTCATTAGAGTTTGGATGAATGAGAAGCGACCTTACTTAAACATATGAAATTCTTAAGAAACCCAAAAAAGTAGATACTGAAAGGTTATTTTCCCTTGTGGGATGTCTGACCAGAGGGCATAATCTCAGAGTAAGCGGTCACCCAATTAAGACAGATATGAGGAATTTTATTCTCTTAGTAGTGAAGCTGTAGAATTCTTTACCACAGAGGGCTTTTGAGGCTGGGTCATTAAGTATAATCAAGTTTGAAATAGATTTTTAATCTGTAAGGGATTTCAAGGGTTATGGAAAAGGCAGGAAAGTGGTTTTGAGAATTTTTGGGTCTCAGCCATACTTTCAATGAGTGGAGGAGCAGAATTGATGGCTCAGATGACCTGCCTCTGACCTTGCATCATATGATCTTGGTGTTGTAGGTAACTCATAGCTAAAGGACTGATTAGCTAAAAATGAGCAGAGACTAGTGATAGAGATAGTAGGAACTGCCGATGCTGGACAATCTGAGATAACAAGGTGTAGAGCTGGATG